TGATTTGATCATTACGATAAAACAAACATACTGACAAATCATTACTGCTTCATGACTGAAAGTTTTTTTAAAATTTGAATGATTTTCAATACGTTCGGCATCTTGCCCTCCCTCCTTCCCTTTTTTCTTTTTTTTTTTACTGTCCCTTTTTAATTGTGTGGTTTTTTAAGACGGTTATTTTTTGAATATGCAAGATAGCATACGTACCAGCAAATTTAAGCATATAAGCCTTATCGAGTTTTTACCAAAAATCAATCATGTCTGTATATAGTTGTTGAATAATTGCTGAGTTTTTAAATTTTATATGCGTAAATCTGCATAGCTATCTAAATCGCTTGATAACTGTTTTCCTTAATTTAAATTCTAAATTAAAAGAAGACATATGGCTAAAAGACAGACGTTATTTGTCTACTTTATAGAAATTTTTGATAGTTATCTAGATAAATCTAGATAACTATCAAAATCTAGATAACTAAAAGAATGTTTTGTTATTTCTACTGCACTAAAATGTCTACTGCATTAAAATGTCATTAGTAAGTCTCCTGCATTTAAATGTCTTTTAATGCTATTTAAACAAAAGAAACTACGCAGGTAGCAAATGCAACTTGACTAATTAAGTCGTTTCTGAATTAAGAATGTAAACAGCTTTATGTAACGTAGGGCGAGAAAAGATCATTACGTGAAAAGCGCTTTTTCTGTTTTTCGTAATAAATTTAGCGTTGCGTACGTTACGGACGATCCTTTAGTCTTAATGATCTATATGTTCTTACAACTTTTTTGTTTCGACGAGAAGTTTTTTTTTTTTTCAATTTGTTATCGCCTTTTTTTTAATGTAGCACTCATATTTTTTGAACATTTTCGTAATTTTAATATCGAAAAATAACTAATCGAAAATATGAAGTTTTATAAGAACTTTTTTGGAATCAGTTCCAGCATTTTTTTTTTTTTTTAATTTATAAAGTTTTTTTTAAAAGGGAACGTTAGCTCAGAAGCATAACTAACTCTGTCATGATAAACTAATGATATGTTAAGTGTTCTTTTTAATTATTATTTGAACCTTTTGTTTATTGTTTTTTTTTGTTTTTTTTTAATGCAAGACTTTTGAATAAAAAAATAATAATTTTAAGTTTTTTTCAACAGATCTTAATAAACGATTTTTGATAAGAAAATAATTCCTCACGAATTTAATAATGGTTTTATAAATCTTATAATGGATTTTAATTAAACTGACAGAAAGTCAGAAGACTTTGAAAAAATCGAGCAATCTATATATAATCGACTAAAATGCTCTTACTAATCAATTAATATTCGATATAGTTGAATGATACCCAATTAGCGCAAGACGTCCATAATACGCACTGTTTAGGTCCATTCGTCCAAGCCCAAAATGGTACGTCTATGGACGTCTAATGGTAATCTAAATACTTACCCTTTTGGACATGGACGAATATGGACGTCCTAAAACGTCCAACCCCAAAATAGCATGCGTGAATATAAATTGTTTTAAAGCGGTTAAAGAAACAGTATGAAAGTTGTCAATTTTTAAACTTAATAATTATTTAGTTAATGTTATCTTAACTGGTTCAACTATATAGCTCTATAAAAATATATTTTTATTTAGATTAATAGAATTATTTTGGGACTATTACAGCGTGCGGTTTTAATATACAACTTTTTAAAAGGGGGATAAATGACATATTGGCGGTTTTGTTTAATTAATTATAAGACGTTTTTCGTTGTTTTAATTTTTGTAAACAAATTTAATAGACGAATATTGAATATTTTTTGTTGAAATAACTTGTATTACAAAGATATTAAAACTATAAAGTGGTTTTGTTCTTTATATTTTTATTACAACGTTAGTTCAAAAAAAGGAGATAGAACTTAAATTATGTAATATAAAACTATACTTTGTCCATAAAACTATACTGTGTCCATAAAACTATACTGAGTCCGTTTTTCTTAATTTCCGTATATCGGACGAACGAATACACATTTGTGGAGATAACATTTCAACTTATTAACTTAAGTTAGTCCACCGTTTCTCTAATACAGTATAGTATTCGTAAATGTTCATGCAAAGAGTGGTAAAGGAGATTTTAACAGAATAATTAACAAATAACTTCCAATTGTTAAAGTTATAAACAATTTAAATCAACACTGGATATTGTTCACTAAATCTAAATCGTAAAGAAACTCATTATTTCATATCATCTCAAAAGTTTCCTACTTAAAGAATAATTTCAAAATCCTATTATAATAAATGAAAAATTTGTTATTCACTTGTTTTATTTATTAATTTATGTTATTTTCTTCATTATAGAAAAATAAACCATTAAATAAAAGTCTTGAAAAAGCTAATGCAGAAATATAATCGAAAAATAAAATATAATTTTACATATAAAGGTAAATGTTCTCAAATAATTAAAAATCAATTATTATTACAAAGTTACTTAAACCTAATGCGCTAACCATTAATAGAATAATCCTTCACAATTAAAATACCTTTTGTCTATTGCAATGTGCAATGTATTATTAAATATTCCTTATTTACTATTGTGTATTAAAATTGTAAAACCAATGGTAAATGAGGTTTTTGATAAAATAACTAATTAATTTTTTTTTTATAATTTGTTTTTATTCATTGGTAATTATGGGTTATAATTTACTAGTTTCTGAAAGCACATGTAATATTTTTTGTTGCATGAATAGCTTTTTTAGTAAAACTTTTCAAAAAAACTGACCTTTATTGAGATTATAACATTTATTAAAGAAGATTTCCCAAAAATGTTTTCAAGAATGGACATCCTCAAACTGATATGTATATAGACTGTACACTATTTATCATTCAAATTTAATTTCAACACTATTGATTTTTGTAATGACAATAATACACAAAAAGGAATAGCCTTATGTTATTTGATACATAACTGTATTTAGCCATACAGAAGTTGACTTTTTTTCAGTAGTAATTATATATATATATATATATATATATATATATATATATATATATATATATATATATATATATATATATATATATATATATATATATATATATATATATATATAATTACTACTGAAAAAAAAAAAATATATATATATATATATCCCAAGTAGCAAGCAATATTGGCGTAATATTGGCACGATATTGGGTATCTTGGCTTATCTTGGCCAATATATCTGATATTGTGTCAATATTATCAAGCAATATTATGACAATATTGTCTTACCAATATTGACAAACATTTTTGTGCCAATATAATCCCTTTATCGTTTTACTGATTTTTTTAAGCTAATATTGGCGAAATATTGCGCCAATATTACACCCGATCCTAAATAAAATTTGTTAATCACATCAAAATAAAATTTTGCTGTGGGTTTCGACCTAATCAGCCATGTATTTGCAACACCACAACACTTGTGGTAGTTTTTTTCAATATCATCGAGTTACGTATATTAGATTATATTACTTGGAAGATATTATGTATTATTTAAATGACATCTAAATGTGTGCAGAGCTTCAGATCTTAAAAGAAAATATGAAAATGAATATAAGAATATTATTTTTAAAATTTTTATATAATTTCGCTTTGTTTGAGTACCAGGTTGACATATAATTTAAAAACTTTTTTTTCGATAATATTAGGGACCCATTACATATTCGAGGGTCTTAAGGGACCACTTAAAATATTTTTTGTTCAAAAAAAAATTTAAACCTAGTGTTTTTGCATTAGATAAAACACATTTAGGGGGTGAGAGCAGATTATTTTCAAAAGTGTTGTTTTTTGGGACACCCTTATATATATATATATATATATATATATATATATATATATATATATATATATATATATATATATATATATATATATATATATATATATATATATATATATATATATATATATATATATATATATATATATATATATATGTATATATATATATGTATATATATATATATATATATATATATATATATATATATATATATATATATATATATATATTTATAAAAACACTTATCTAATTTTTATTTTATTTTACAGCATGTTTCTTTATTAGTAGTAGTTTATGGCTCTCGCAAAAGTGTAATTTTTTCTCTTAAAAGTTTAATTATTATTAGTGAAAATAATGTTTTCACTAATTATATATGTGAATTATATATGTGATGATTTTCGGTAAATTAAAAATACCATCCTGTATAATCATTGTTATATAGAGAGGTTTGTAAAAAGGTGACATGATGGTACATACATATCAGCATGACCACATCTCTTAATAATTTTTAAAATATCCTAATATTTACAAAACCTCCTTAAAAGACCTAAATTCTTTTAAAATATACTTGAGTTTCATAAGTACCTTCTAAAATCTCCTATTTTAAACTTTTTTTTGAACTTTTTTTTCAAATTTTTTATTGAAATTTTGGAATAATATTCAAATTTTGTAAAACAAGCTTTTAATCCTCCTAAAGAGTCCTAGTTTTTTTAATTTTTAAGTAAACATAGAAAAACAAATAAAATATATGTAGGTATATGAAATATATATGTATATATATGATATAAAAGTATTTTTTATTGTAAAAATAAAAATTAATTTTAGTTTACTAAAAAGTATTTTTGGTGATGATTTTTATATTTTTAAACAATTAAAATAGGTAGACAACACCAGTCATTGGCTGTAGAATGTTCATGCTCATCTTTTATTGAAGATATTTCTTGAGAAAAGTTTCTGGCCTAGTTCTCCTGTAAATCCATCTGCAGCATTCAGCTATGAGTCAATGGATTTAATGGAAGCCTTGTATCTAGATGGATATGTTTCTGTAAAATCATTTTGCAAAGCCTTACATACTAAATCTAAAGGAGATGATTTTATTAAGGTATAATATCATATTGTGTTGATTTGAAAAAGTATTTTGAGAAAATAAGTTTTTAAAATAATTTTTTTATGTAGGTTGATGCAATATATGAAATGATAACTGATGAATGTTTCTGAGTTATCTTTTGTATAAAAATGATTTAAAAACCTTCAAGCCAAGACTTCAAGACATTCACAATCTATCCATATGTCCTGCATATCCTAAAGTAAGAAAATCCTTGATCCCTAGTAGTACCGCGCTTAACTTGTTTATCCGCGCAATATTCTCCTAAAGTAACTGTTGGTTTAGATATTTATATGGTGAAGTTATGGAGTGTCTTTTGTCTGCCCTTAGAAGATTTTCAAAAGTAACTAAAGAGCAAACACCCAGTCATAGAGCAGATTCTATTACTTTGGGTTTACTTCATTATGCACAATATTCAATTAATGCAATAGGTTTTTTTAAAATTAAATATTGCTATAACATCAGATTCATTATCAGCATTGTTTTTAGAATATTTTTATTATATTTTTAGGTAGAAGACTCTGTGCCAGACTAGACAAAGCTTTACAAATTAAAGATACAATTGATATTGAACTTAAAAAAACACTGAAGTCTATTAGTGGTTTGTATAACTTTGATGGTTTCAATAAATTATTTGAAATCTATTATATAAACAACCTTATTACTAATTCCCTATTTCTATAATGCTGTAAAGTCAGCCCAGTCATTGTGTATAGATGACAGGACTGACATTTGCCACTTTTCCAAAACTTTTTTAATTTATAATAAAATAATTTCAATAATAAGAATAAAATATTTTTAAAACATTCTTTAGTTCCTCATAGAGAAGTTATTCAATAGAGCAGAAGTGTTTTTACTTTTTTAATTAATATTTTAATTAATATTTTCAAAGCTTAAGGATGGCTAAAAATTTTTTCTAATCTTAGAAATAAGAGTGTAGATACAACTTTTACAACTTGATCTGTAAAACTTTTATAACTTAATACATTTTGTAATCCTTGTGTAAGTAGGTTTACCTTGTGTAAGTATTTCTTCTTTTTTTTTTTCTTTTTTTTCTTTTTTTTTTTTTTTTTAACATGATGCATTATACATATCATGTTGTCTGGGTTGTTTGACCCTTGCCCCAAAATTGTTAGAATTGTTGTATTATTGTTTCTAAAAGATTTTAATTTATTTGCTTATTTTTTGCCTTAAAGAAAACCCTATAAGTGGTGAGGAAAAAAATATTTTCTGACACACCAGAGTTTTTTTACAAAATGTAGATAACCTTGGTTTATGGGATGAGATATATTAGTTGTTTAAATAGTATAGCCTAATAAAACATAAACTCATTCTTATTGGATAGTTTACTTTACATGTTTCTATGATTGATATTTGTTTAATTGATATTGTTTGTGTTTCGTTTAACTGATGTTGTTATATATATTTGAAATTCGATAAATACATTAAAAAGTAAAAAAGTTAAATATTTGCCTTTGTTTTTTTAATAATTTTTTTTTTGTTTTAATTTATTAGAAATGATATTGAAACTATGAATAACAATCCAGATATAAATATAGAACTAGAACGGTAATTGATTTTGAAAAATAATCTTTAAAAGTAATCTTTATATGGGGCCATCCATAAAGGACGTCATCCAAATAGGGGGGGGAGGGGGTCGAGTTAAATAGGACAAAAAAGGACAAGGGGAGGGGGGGAAGTTCTCAGAAAAAGACGTCATTTTATAGATTTTTTATTTTAGTTTAATTAACATGAAAAACTACGTAAACTTGTGTTTTTAAGAAGATAATGTATGAGAATATTTTTAATTTTATTTTTCAAAGGTGTAGCAGCAGATTCAAACATCATTGCGAGATGAAATAAATTTTTTTGGAGTTAAAAATGGGGGGGGGTTAGGATTTTAAGACGTCCTTTTCAAGGGGGGTATAGGGAAAAAGGACAACCGGTGACAAAGGATGGGGAGGGGGTCAAAAATCGGCTCAAAAATGGTGACGTCCTTTATGGATGGCCCCTATATTCTTTTTTTTAACAATAACGTATTCATCTGTTTTATCAGGCTCGAAACAAAACTTAGTATTGAAGAAAAGAAATTAAAAATAAATACTCGGTGGGATCCAACCACTGTTATTTTTAAGGAGACCTTAGCAACAAAAGAATATTATGCTAAAAATCCAATCCTTTGCATTTCATTAGTTATTTCTCAGTAATTTGAAAAAAAAATATGCAGGTAAAGAAGTTATTTTATATTTAAACTTAAATGTTTAATATATAACCTAATAATTTTTAAATTGAAACCGTTTATTTATAATTTTTTCGTTTTTTGTTTAGATGGACAAAAAATTGCAATTAAACTTACTAAGCAGTTAAACAAAAATAATAAGAATTTGCAAGATTTGATCAAAGAGTATAACTCTATAGTTGTATTCCAGCAAGTTTTTACAAAATTTTATTATTTGGGATGAGGTTAGTGATTTGGAGAGTGTTTTTTTGAAATATTTTCGGACACAAAAAAGTTCTGATTTTGCGATTTCCATAACAATTAAACAAAAATGTATTGAGCTGTTTCAATTGAATTGTAGATCTGTGGAAGAAATCGAAATGGTTAAAAGCGAAATGAAAAATGTATTAAATTTTTACCACACAAAAATAAATAAATTCAAGGAAGCTTTTGTGTTACTTGAAGATAATATTGAAGATAACGGCTGGAAAGCAAGGTTGCTTAAAGAAATAAATGTTTTAACTTTAAAAAAAAATGTTATTCTGAGGCTTTTTGTCCGTATAATTCAGATTCTTCGAGTGAAATAAATACTCTGTTGTTCAACGAGTTAGATTAAGTTAGATTAAATGGATTAAGTATTGAATCAGATGATAATGATTCAGAATTTGATTTATAGAAGTACGTACGGTCGGAGATCAAGAGGATGCCTGCAAATGGCGTTTCTAAGATAAGAGGGCAGTAGGTAGGGAAGGTTGGGAAAAAAAAAACGTACGTACTATATAGTTACAAATGGTTGTGTCTTTTATTTTATTAAAAAAAGAAGCTATAAACATTTTTTATTTAAACATAATCCTCATGATTAAATAATTTAGCTTTTTATATTTAATATTTTTTTAATTTAGTTGTTTCTTCTGTAGCATCAGCCACTTCAGGTAAATTTAATTAAGTTGTTTCATCTGTAGCATCAGCCACTTCAGGTAAATTTAATTTAGTTGGTTCATCTGTAGCATCAGCCACTTCAGGTAAATTTAATTAAGTTGTTTCATCTGTAGCATCAGCCACTTCAGGTAAATTTAATTTAGTTGTTTCATCTGTAGCATCAGCCACTTCAGGTAAATTTAATTTAGTTGTTTCATCTGTAGCATCAGCCACTTCAGGTAAATTTAATTTAGTTGTTTCATCTGTAGCATCAGCCACTTCAGGTAAATTTAATTTAGTTGTTTCATCTGTAGCATCAGCCACTTCAGGTAAATTTAATTTAGTTGTTTCATCTGTAGCATCAGCCACTTCAGGTAAATTTAATTTAGTTGTTTTATCTGTAGCAGCAGCCACTTTAGGTAAATTTAATTTCACTTCAGGTAAATTTGTACATTTGTTTTGATTTAATAATATAAAATTTATTCTATTAAAGTTTTATTAAATTTTATGAAATAATTATCCTAAAAATTAAATGATATTATATATATTTTGTTAAATTCAAATATAACTTTATTTGAATTAAAAAAAAATTCTTTATTTTTTATTTATTTTTTATTCTTTTTTTTTTCAGTTATTATTGTTTTATTGGTTTGCTCACTGTTGAGACATGGTTTTAATATAGTAAATTTATATGATATGAATTTTACTGTGTTAATCGTTAGTCAACGGTTAAGAAGAAACTGTAATTCTAATCAATTGAGGTAAAAATAATTTTTTTTAGAGGTTACAGAACTTATAACTATTTTGTGCTTCTATATTGTTTTTGTAATTGTTATTCTAACTATTTTTTTATTTTATATATTATAACTTTTTTTAACTAAGTGCCTTTGAAACACTCTCTACCTTTGTCTTTAATGAAGGTTTAATAATAAAAAGGAACGTTATTGGAATTATTTGTTATTACTGTTGTTACTCAGCTATTATGTATTTTTTGGTACCACAATTGATAGTGACTAAGGAGGTCCAAGGGTTTCAATGCTGTCTCTCGACAAATAAGCAATATTTTTATAGAAAGAGACGCAAACTTCTTGGTAAAATTCCACGGTGCTGAAAACTGAAGTTGCTTAACTTTTTTTCTTTCGATTTCTTTTCGAATGTATCAGAACATAGCTTTTAAATAGAAACTGACTCACTGTGATATACTTTTAAAAATAAATTTGCTTTCACCAACACCTAAAAAACAACTCTCTAGTAAGATTGCACTAAAGTACAGTAAACATATGTATAATTTCGTAGCAGTTATTAAATTAGGGACCCCATATGTCCCGATTTTACGTTGGAGAGTGCAGCGCAAAATTAATAAAAACTAAAAATTTCATTCCGCTATCCTTTGTTAAATCAGGAAATATAAAGTCCCTGTTCTCTAGCGAATATTCAGGGATCTTTCAAGGTCTTGATCTTACAAAGGAGAGAGCAATGAAAGGTTTAATTTCAACTAATTTATCGCTGCGCTCTCAACATAAAATCGAGAAATATGGGAATCCTATATTAGATCCTACTTGTTGCATTAGCGCAGTTTTTTTAAAATTCGACTTTTTGAACAATATTAGGTCAACAGTTATAAAGTATGCGCACGAAATAAACATGAAAGTAGAAAAAGTAGGGTAAAGACGGGTAGCCCCGGATGGCAGGTAACTCCGGACACTTGATGTACAGCTTAAACTAAAGAAGCTATGTGACTTTGATTACTATAATAATATTATTTGAGTGAACATATGGCATATGTAAAATATCTATCATAATATGCCGAAGCGAATGACTGGGAGGGCAAGTACATTTCAGTGCATTATTATAATAAAATAAAATATTTAAAATAAATTAATTTATTAATTTATTTGAAATAAATTATCTCGCACAGAATAACAATCAAAACTATTTGATATTTTTTTAAATAAAATTTTCATAACCCTAACCCTAACCCTGACGTAATTTAAGGACAACCCCTAAATCTCAATTTTGGGCAGGTCGGTGGATTTGCTGTTTTAGCCACAACATTTACATCATATTTTCTTAATGCCATTCCATAATCAGTTTATTATAAGAAGTTGAAGCTAAGTTAGGCCAGAAACCAGAGCTTATATTATGTGTTTTTTTAAGGAGAGATAAAAGACATTTAAACACTCTTCACTTGTATTAAACCAAATTGTGAGTTTTATTGTACTATAATATATAAGTACTATAATATAAGTACTATGCACCTTTTTGTTAAGTTTTCGAACAGTTTGGCATTTGCATGTTTTCTAAGTGAGAGACGTATTTGTAATTCTTTTCATATTGAATTTTTTCGTTTATTGGGGCTTTCGAAATATTTTTGTATAAAATTTTCTCTAAAACCTTCTTCCTTTTTCATTTTTTAATCTAATTTATAGTTAAATGGGAAAAATTAAACATTTTCTTGAAGCTACAACATAAAGCTACACTTAAAACCGATTCGAATAATACAATCAGCTTTGACTTCACTGCTTATCAAAGAATTCACTGCTTATCAAAGAACTGCTTATCTTTTAGTATGCTCATATTATCAAGGTGCTCATATTACCGTAATCTACCTTATTTTAATGCAACCAATGGAAAAAATAAGACATTTATTCTTTTAAATATATTTTGATTGAAAATGAACTAGGCTTAAAAGAAATAACAAATTTTTTCTATTGTTTGACAAGCTTTCTTTCTTTGAAAGGGTCATTCTCAAGATGTATCAAAGAATCATTTCTTTCCATATTTGAAGCAAAAAATTAATTAAGGAAACATTTTTTAATATAGTTTATCATTTCTTATAGTTATGTTAAAACTTGAACAATTTTTTAAATACAAGGCATACCTAAAACTAAACTTAAAAAATAGTTACGTATAATATATATTATGATATAGATTATATTATATAAGAATGTTAATACAAAATTTTGAAGTAATACTCTCTAATCTCAAATACATAAAAAGTTGTTAACTAGTTCAATGGAAGAAAGATCCCCTAAGCAAATAAAGTTGCGGTCCACATTAACTTCATTTGATTTTATTGTAGCTTTATCTAACTAAATAAAATAAAAACGATATCAAAAAGGAGTTTGTGTGTCTGCTTTTCACTGTCTTCTTAAACTTTTACTTCTTAATGTATTCTTAAACGTTGTTCAAAAACCCTGTTCAAATAACTCTTCTAGAAAATATTTCAATCAGATATTATTCTAAGCAGTGATGGTATTAACCTCTCTACAGAAGTGACAAAAATTCAAACAAAAAAATTAACATCAACTTTGCATAAAAATCTAGGATCGCCTACTGTCTCATGGTGCATGATGATATTAATAATAATAATAATAATAAGGTATAACTGTAACAACTGTTTTAAACAGTTGTGAAGTGCAATAACATAAGATATTGCACTGTAACAGTTCATTTTGTCTTTTGTTTGTTTTTTAACAAATAGTTTCTGCAAAATCCAGCTCTGTCTAGTTTGTTTTTGAAGTTATTTATTGAAGTAGCTTCTATTATTTCGGATGGTAAGCTGTTCCACGCATTTACAACTCGATTTTGGAAAAAATGATACCTGAAGGTATTTCTGCTAAAAGGCTTCCTCATTTTGAATTTGTGTTGTCGCAGACATGGACTCTCCACCAATGCATTTCCACAATCGTTAGCAACCCAATTTATTTTATCGTGGCCATGCTGAATTTTATATTGTTGAATCAGATCTCCACGTAGTCTACGTTCTTCCAGTGACGTTAATTGCATAATATTCAACCTAGCCTCATATGATAATTTCCTAATTGTAGGTGCTAGTTTGGTTGCTCTTTTTTGGATTTTCTCAATCTTGTCTATGTCTTGTTTTAAAAATGGAGACCATGCCTGGACCGCAAACTCAAGATGTGGACGTATGAACGTTGTATAGAGCATTTTTACCATGTTTACATCTAAATATTTAAAGCTTCTCTTTATGGTACCTAACATTCTGTTTGCTTTGCTGGTTGCTGAATCAACTTGTGAGTGCCATTTTAAATTGGATTGAACTATTATACCCAAATCACGTTCAGCTTTTGTGTTACACAATGTATAATTGTAATTGCAATCAATATCAGTCATTATAAATGTTGCATTTGGATTTTTTTTCCCAATATGCATAACTTTGCATTTTTCATAATTAAATTTTGTGAGCCAAATAGATGACCATGCCATTATGTTATTTATATCATTTTGAAGGCTTATTGAATCATTAGGATTTTTTATAATATTTATTATTTTTTTATCATCAGCGTAAAGTTTAATAGGGTTTTTGACTTGATCTGGCAAATCATTAATAAAAATCAAAAACAGCAGTGGTCCTAAAACTGACCCCTGTGGTACACCACTAATAACTGGTAGCCAATCTGAGACTGTGTCGCCAAGGACCACTCTCTGTTTTCTGTTAGTTAAAAAGTTCTCTATCCATCCCAGATAATTTCTCACAATACCATATGATTGAAGTTTAGTGATC